CAAATTACTGACGACATCTCTGTGAACTGGAATCCAGGCAGAACATGGCATCCCATTGAGATTAAGGGGCAGCTTTAGCAACTGGAGCGGAGATGAGCTAGCTGTGCAGTTGAGGTGGTGGGCATAAGTCCAAGTAGGGGCCTCTCGGGAATCTTTGTCTGAGGATAAGGCTACCAGATGTCTACTAGAGAGTGGCTGCCACAAGGTTGAGAGTGGAACAGAGAGACTAGAGGTCAAGCATTGCTAAGGGATGTTGAAAGTGCTACCTAGCTATAGTGGGGAGACCACATTAACACCTTTTTAACACCTCAGGCATGTATCTGAGACACCAGAAAAGCCACACCTTAGGAGTAAGGACCACACCTTAGAGTAAGGCCAACTCTAGACCTGCCCTAACAAAGCCTAAAACTAAGCCCTGACAAGATCCCTAAAGGAGACAAGAGTTTGGAGATTGAGTCCTGCCAAGTTACAAGGCTTGAAATATACCTTGGACTTTCTACAGACTCACCCTAACAAAGCAAAAACCAAGACTACACAAGTTTCAAGATGATCAGCCAGTACTTGATTTTCCTACTAGCACAAAAATCCACACTTTTCAAAGGAAAACAGGAGTCAGAGTCTCACCGATATATCATGCGCAGTATTCAGTATAAAATCTACAATTACTTGACATGCAGATAGACAGGAAAATGTGACCCTGTCTTTAGGCAAGAAAAGATGCAGTCAATAGAAACCAACTCTGAGATGGTTCAGATATTGGATTTATCAATCACTTTAAAACAGTTATAAATATTTCAAATATATGTTCAATATGTTCAAAATATGCTCAAAATATTAAAGGAAAATGCATTCAAAAGAAAGAAAAATTTGGCCTTAAAATGTGAACAGATATAAAACTTCAGCAGAGAAATGGAACAGAATGGAAATTCTAAAACTTAAAAGTACAAAAACTGAAATGAAAAAGGCACTTGATGGAATCAACAGTAAATTGAAAATGGCATAAGAAGTAGTCTGTGAATTTAAAAACAGATCCATAGAAATTATCCAAACTAAAGAGCAGTGAGAAAAAAATGAAGAAAAATAAACAGTCTCGGGATATATGAGAAAATATCA